CCACTAGTCCATCCTTCAGTTAATAGCTTTGGATCACATGATTGACACCATGCCCAATGGGTATTATATCTATTGCATGTTGGACACTCCCCATAATATTTCTCACTTTCCTTTGAATATTCACCATTTTTGTCAGTAGAAATATCGTCATGATGTTTATTTTCATCCAAAATGGTTTCCATTGTGGTTTTTTTATATTTGTAAAAAAAAAATTTTTTTAAGTTTTTTTTTTTTTCAGCCACAAATTTGTATATATCACAAAAAATATATTAATTAATGTTAAATATAAAAAAAAAATTAAATTTTACCTCAACAATTCAGCATTGACACCCTAAAGTCGTAAAACTGTAATAAATATTGCAAGCGTGCGATCAGAGTTATTGGAGTCACCAAATCTGGCAAACTAAATTAAAATCACCATATACAACTATACCGCTTGATTAGGGCTTAAGGTTTATTCAAATTATTTATTTTACTTGCTATGAATTTGAGTATTTGAATTACATTGAAAGTTTATTCGAATAAAATGAATAATGAATAATTTGATAATTTGATAATTCAAAAAAGACAAATAAATGAATAATTCCAATAAAACAAATAAACAAATAAAATAAATAATTCGATAATTTGATAATTCAAAAAAGACAAATAAACAAATAATTCAAATAAAAAAATAAATAAATAATTCAATTAATAATTTAAATAAAACAAATAAACGAATAATAATGATGCGAATAATTCGAATAATTTGAATAAAATGAATAGTTTGAATAAAATGAATAAAACGAATAAAAAATAGTGCGAATAAACGAATGACAACAATTCGAATAATAAAACGAATAAACGAAATAAAATGAATAATTCAAGCAAAGCGAATGATGTCAATTCGAATGATATACGAATGATGTCAATTCAAATAATAAACGAATGATGTCAATTCAAATGATAAACGAATGATGTCAATTCAAATGATAAACGAATGATGACAATTCGAATGATAAACGAATGATGGCAATTCGAATGATAAACGAATGATGCCAATTCGAATGATAAACGAATGATGTCAATTCGAATGATAAACGAATGATGACAATTCGAATAATAATAATGAACGAATGATGACAATTCGAATGATAACAAACGAATGATTTGAATAATTCGAAGAATAGCAATAAACGAATGATACAATGCGAATAATAAAGAATGATAACAATTCGAATAATAAACGAATGATACAATTCAAATTATGATATTCGAATAATAAATGAATGATAACAATTCAAACAAAATGAATGATTTGAATCATTCGAACAAAAATTTTATTACGAATAGAAACTCAACTCAATTGCAGAGTCACTAGACCTGGCATAATAATGCTCAAAATATACAACTACACTACTTGAGGCGTCCCTACAAACAATATAGTAAAACTAATAAAAGGGGCCACTAACTAATAATCAAATGTTGGCCAAACCATTAATCATCAGAAAGGGTTATGAATAAATTGGGGCATACTGCAACAAAACCAGACAAAGTGAACATTGGTGTTACCAAGAATTTCAGGGATCAAAATTTAGTTATCATCATCGCATTTGTTTGTAATAGTAACACACAAAAGTGTGATCGATTTTTCGATAGTGATATGCAAGAGCGTCCTGACTTTATGACATAAAAAATGATACCTGAAGGCAAGAAAGGTTTCTAGAGCGCGAAAATATAACTTTTGGTAATACGCAAAGGTAGAATAATATAAGGCAGAGATAAAGAAAAGTTGTGCTTTTACGTATTACCAAATAGATGAGGTATCATATTGGAATTACATGCTTCATCCTCATATTTGGATGCAACGTACAAAGCCAAGGTACAGGTTGCCGTTTCAGCATTATATACTTCATCTTTGTGATTGAAAAAAAATTGACTGATCATCTAGGAGATGTGGTAATATTTATAGTGGATAACAAATTGGTAGATAATGATAAAAATCAAAAACCAAAGGAAAATAAAAATTGAAATTGTTTGAAATCAGCGTGATGGTATTAGAGATGTGTACCTTTTTTTTACGAATTGGTTTTCAATCAACACTGTGTGTTTGCCCTCAACATATGTTTAAGTGACTCTTAAGTGATGATGAATTCACAAAACAATCATCACTTGAATTTACTTCTTGAAAATACAATCAATATGTCAAAATATTGCATGTTGCATCTGATACAATAAAGTATATTCCGTAATATTTAATTAAAAACCAAAATATCAGTGAAATTTTTGAGTTATATTCATATCAATACGTCTTGATGGCTTCTTAGGAGACACCTTTGTGAAGTTATCTTCATCATCAGATGATTCTAGCGTCATGATGGTTTCATATTGGCTTTCTAAACTGTTCCACACCTCATTTGCAGAAGTGACCCTTTTTTTAAATGCCCACATCATTCGCAGAACAAGGGAAAGTTTTGTGATATCACTATGAGGAATTTTCATAGACCCAATTTTTCGAACCACATAAAAGGGCTTAATGTACTCCATCTCAAACAAATTTTGTGTATATCCATAACATTGTGAACCATATACACACAAACTCTCTTTTGGTATCTTATAGCCTAATTCACGCTTTTCTTTCTTAGAAGCATGAAGCATGTCTCTCATTTCTCGAAGCAACTTATAAAAATCTTCAGCCGTCTTCCTCCTATCTTGGTTTTGCGGAGCATAAGATATTTCCAAAACAAAGCATTCATGTCCATCATTTGACAGTCCCGCTCCATCCCCTTTATGTCCTGTTGCAACTTTTGTAAGTGAAAGAATATCACGCCCGCCATTTTTTCTTGATGCTGTTGAATTTAACTCAACCTCCCCCCACATATATTCAATATCTCCATCACGCATGGCTTTCCCTGTTACAAAACTCATTATTATGCTCCACATGGCTTCTGTGGTCAAAGGATGTGAGATGACGTTTCTTTTACTTGTAAGTTCACTAACAAAAATATGGATAACCAGTAATGGATATTGCTCAAATAAGGTGATGTCTCCTTTACCTATATCTATCCATACCTGCACAAACTTTTGAAACAAAGATTCTTATCATTTTTAGCCTTTTGTAAAATGGGTTTAAGTCTTCCCAATAAACTTTCTTCTGCAAGACATAGTCGTTGGCCTCGGATTTGCTTCCAGCTTGATTTTGAACACAGAGATTTGAGTATATCATTTTGAAAGGTTATCACAATACAATCATGCTCCACCCTCCATGGATGCAAATCAATCTTGAGCAAATATTTATTCCATATGTCGGTGAAATTCTCTTCAGATTTAAGAATACACTGCAATGTTTGTAATGGGTGCTCTGTTATTACTGGATCATCTGAAACTTGCGTAGATGGCAAAGATGTTTGGTTGTTTTTATCACTTGAGATGCCATTTTGCACATCAGAAATAATTTCAGAACTAAAAAGATCTGGAGCATCAGAAATACCGCCTGATGGAGATGAATGAAAAAAAAGATCTATTTCACTATCATTTTCATCATTGGATGATTCCTTGTCACCATCATTACTATCCTGTTCACATTGCAAAGGACAATCAATTAGAATTTTGTTAGTATCCAAGCCTAAAACATAGTCCAGTAACAATAAAACTAAATGGCAGTTATCACCTTACAAAATCTGGTACGTTTTGCTTTTCTTTCGCTGTCATCAAGGAAGTTCTTCCTAATACTGGTTGTGGTTGATCTAGCATATTGTTGAACTTGTTCCATCGTCACTGTAGCAATGGTTGCATGTTGGACTGCCTGTTATACAGGAAGTAGGATCAAGAGTGAATGTTTTAGCTTAGTGTTTTAGATTGTGAAGATAATGAGAGAATGAAGTACCTGCAACATTCAAACCTCAGCCTTTGATTTCTCCTCTGTCATATTCGCTTGTATATTAATGTTTCGAAGTTCCCAGATATCATTTATCAACTTGGTCTTTTTATCTTTCTAATTTTTTTAAAAAAAAAAATTAGTAAGTAATTGGTATTTAACTGATAATTTGTTCCATCGCACATATAAAGGAGAATTAGGGAACCCAAGGTAGTCTGCTTAAGTCATAGGACAATCACGGATACATTGCGAGCACGCAGAGTCCCAAGGTAGTCCGCTGAGTATATAATCACCGACAGGCACGAAGGACTTTCCCACTGCAAGCACGAAGGGTTGCAGGGTAGTCGATGTACTCAGATTATCGAGTATTACCGACAGGCACGAAGGACTTTCCCACTGCAAGCACGAAGGGTTACAGGGTAGTCAGATGTGTACTCAGACTATCACAATTACCCCAAGGTGTCAACAAAACAATATACTTTCCTTAAAAGCGTTCTTCCATTTGATTATCTTTTGCCCAAATTCGGATTTTTCTGCATAAAACTTGCTTATTGTATTGAGCTCACTCTGGTAACGATTATTTTCCGTTCTTTTATCCCCAAAATCACTGAAGGAGAGTCGAAATTTCAGAAAATCGAAGAGTGTGGGATCTTCTGTAGTCTTCCAAAAGGCTACATATTTAAACAGCAGGTTAATAGACTAATGTAATATACCAGCCATTGAGTATTACCAAAAGCATAATTTGCCTTACCTTGATACTGCAAAGCGCTAAGACACTCGGGGAGAAGTAGTTGCATCTGTGTTTAGAGGAACTACCAAACAGATCTATACAACTCTTGTAATAGAACAGTATATTGACGCCTTGAATCAAAGTGTTTGTTATTGTTATTATTTATAATAATTTGAAAGTTGTTTTAAGCAAAAAAAACGCCTTCCTAGAGCCAATAATATTGTTAATAAATTTTATTAGTTATTTTTTTGTTAGAAATATACACGTATGTGCTGATTTCGTTTGAACTCCAAAATTTAGTATTATTACGCGTTGGGGGTCTAAGAAAAACAAAACTAATTAATGTCATACATATAATGATTGGTTATCAGTCGCAGGACATTGTGGATCTACAGGGGGTCAAGTGTCGCTCACTAATAAAATTTTTTTGATCAACACGGAATTTTATAAAAAATGAAGAAAAAAATCATGCTTTCATACACAAACTTGCCCGATTTAATCAAATTGTTACGTGAGTCATAAAAAATAACATGAAAAAACCTTTATTTTGATGTATTTTTTGCCAGGGTAAACAAATTCCACTAAGCGATAATCTTAACATGAAGTTGGACTACCAGTTTTATAAGTTCTATAATAAATTAAGAAATTGAACAACATGCACAATTTCAATCTCTGGGCTTAATAATAATAAATGCAATAGTTAAGTTCTAATTTCCAACCTTTAAATGTTTATTTTTTTAAATTACATAGAAAAGTATTAACTTCAAATTTGCTTTTTAAAGATTATTTTCATAATAATAATAAACATTTTACCTAATAATAT